GACGCCCTCCTCAGCGGCGCCGAGCAGGCCAAGGGCGCCGAGGAGCTCGCTGCGGCGGACGCTCGGGCGCAGCGGTTCCTGGAGGTGGAGCGGTGCCTGGAGGCGATAGACGCCGACGGCGCCGAGGACCGCGCTCAGACCATGCTGAGGGTGCTCAACTTCGACGACGCGACGATGAGGCGGCCCACTGGGAGCCTGTCTGGCGGGTGGCAGATGCGCCTCGCGCTCGCGGTCGTGCTGTTCAGCCGGCCCGACGTGCTGCTGCTGGACGAGCCCACGAACCACCTCGACCTGCACGGGGTCCTGTGGCTGCAGAGGCACCTTCGCTGCGAGTGGGGCGCCGCCTCGGCGAAGAAGGACCCTGGAGAGGAAACCACTGCGTAAGCAAACCTACAGGAAAGCATGAAACATGACACGGATCGATGACAAACATCGGGCGAAGAAGTCTATTCATATCCACTACCCCCTGGCCAGGCCGTTCGTGGGCCCAGGAGCTGCGTGTCTCCCTCCTGGCCAAGCCAGGATGGCGTGGCGTATGCAGCGCTGCTGGGTTCAGGATGGGCCTGGCCTGGGAGCAGAGAATATTTATAGATTTCGTCGCCCTCAAACAACAGCAGAAGCACAAGCTGTCGTAGGTCCACCCGGATTTCTTGAATCGGCGCCGGATTCCCCCCCTTTTGTGGCGCCTCGGGCGCCGCCCCTCGCGCGCCCGCGCGCCAGGAAGGGAGGCCCAGCGCCGCTCCGAGACGTCCGCGCAGGCCTCCGAGCGGTTGTGCTCGCGCCGTCCTGTGCTCCTCCAGGACCGCATCGTCGTCATCGTGTCCCACGACAGGTCCTTTCTGGACGCCTGCGCCACCGACATCCTCGAGATCCACAGCTGCAAGCTGCGCAACTTTGCCGGGAACTACAGCGCGTACCTCGACCGGGTCCTGGACGAGCAGAGGCTCGCGCTCCTGAAGAGGGAGGAGGAAGAGCGAGCAGAGAAGGTCGCGGAGAAAGAGCTGCGGGCCATGAAGAAGAAGGCGCGGGAGCACAAGGACGACAAAAAGGTGCGTCAGCTCAAGTCGAAGGAGAAGCAGCTGACCGAGCGCAAGCTGAAGCTGAGCTCCGCCAGGGAGTTCGGCGATGGCCGCGACGACATCTTTGCGAAACTGCGTGAGGACACCAGCCTGCGCTTCCGCTTTCCCGAGGCGGACAACGTCCTGGACGCCGACACCAATTACCTCGAGATGGACGGCGCCACCATCCGCCAGGGCGACAGGGTCATCTTGAAAAATGTGACCCTGACCATCGAGCCGAGGAGCCGAATCGCGATCGTGGGCGCCAACGGTGCGGGCAAGTCCACGCTGATGAAGGCGCTCTGCGGCGAGCTGAAGGCCGACGAGGGCCCTCGCGGGCGAGGCAAGATCCACCCCGCCTTCAAGCCCGCGTTCGTGTCGCAGAACCACCTGGAGCGGCTCGAAGGCAGCCTGCGAGTCAATTGCATGGACCACCTCAGGGAGCAGCTGCCAGACGCCAGCACGCTCAGAAACACCGAGGGCATGCTCACGAAGCAGTGCGACGACTCGCTGATCCGCGCGACGCTGGGCAATTTTGGCATGGGCCGCGACGCCCTGAAGAAGGCGCCGGGCGGGCCCAGGGCCGGGATGCGTCGCTGCAGCGCGCCTCCGAGTGTTCCTGGGCGCTCTGGAACGACCGCGGTGCCCGGTACGTCCTCCAGACCCAGAAATCCAACGTATTGAAAGAATCAAGACGGAGGTTCTTCGATTTTTTTGGCCTCGAGGGGCCCTCGCCGGGCCTCGGGACCATTGAAGAACGACTCAGGATGGAAGACTGGTCCTGGGGAATGGGTCGAGACTTCCAAGGGCCCCGTATTGAAAAAATCACGACGTCGGATCTCTGGGGAGCTGGCTGGCTGGTTTCTTCTTCACCCTCCACCGCTTGGCCGGCCCCCGGCCTCCGGCCGAGGGCAGCGAGGGCCGCGGTACCCTGCCGCCAGCATCTGCAACGGAGCCGCCGGACTTCAGAGATCACCGCGCTGTCCCGGTCCGATGTGGTCTCTGTCCCGGCCTCGTCGGAAGGTGGGGTACCTGTCCGGTGGTCAGCGGGCGCGACTGTCGCTGGCCACCGCCACCTGGTGGGAGCCCACGGCGCTGCTGCTGGACGAGCCGACCAACCACCTGGACGTGGACAGCCTGGACGCGCTGACCCTCGGGCTCCAGGCCTTCGACGGCCCCGTGGTGGTGGTGTCGCACAGCAGGGGCTTCCTCGAGGCTCTCTGCGAGGAGCTGTGGATCGTGCGGGACGGCACCGTGCACGTGTGCACGAAGGGCGAGGAGGCGTTCGCGCAGTTTTTCGCTCAGTACGTGAAGCAGGTGGAGGCGTCGCTCAAGTGATCCTGCCCTGCGCTCGGAAGGCCCGCGGGCGCTCACCGTACAGTCGTATGAGGGTCAGTCCCGCCGCAGTGGCCGCGACGAGGAAAAGCTCCCCGCTCCTCTCCTGTCCCTGATGCTGTGTGAGCTCGCCGTCGCAGCAGCCTTTTTGCGAACGTAGCGTCGTCCAGTACATGGTTTCTCGCGCTTTTCTGCTGGATGAGAACGTCTTGTCTGAGGCTATACTTTGGGCGTGATCGTATTCCTGGTACCCTGAGGCGTGATACCAGCCAGATCTAATGATACCGGAGAAAAGCCCAGTCATAATCTTTTTAGGGTTACAGGGCTATGGGGCTATAGGGCTATAGGGCTATAGTGGTACAGGGGTACAGGGCTATGGGGCTATAGGGCCATAGGGCTATAGGGCTATAGGGCTATAGGGCTATAGGGCTATAGGGCTATGGGGCTATCGGGCTGTAGGGCTGTCTGGCTACAGGGGTATAGGGCTATAGGGCTGTAGGGCTATAGGGCTATAGTGTTATAGGGCTGTAGGGCTATAGTGCTATAGGGATATAGGGCTATCGGGCTATAAGGCTATAAGGCTATAGGGCTATAGGGCTACTGGGCACCTGGGCACCCGGGCACCCGGGCACCCGGGCGTGCCGCCGAAATCGGCGCCCCACCTCACCTAACCATATGAATCCGCTAGGACCCCTACAGAGGCAAGCTCTGATTGGGGATACCAGCCAGGTCTAACAACATCAATTTTGACGCCGGACTACTCTGCACTCGTGGCGTCCTCTTCGTCGTCATCCCCTATCTTCGCTGAAGCCATTCTGGGTCAACACTGGTTGCCTAAACAACCAGGGCCAACCAGCACTGAAGCGTTATTTATTGTGCGATCTTCCTGGCGGTTCAGTGGACCGTCCTGAAGTATGGAGGACCGTGGACGGTTGCTAAGCATCGCAGAGATGGGCAGCTGAAAATCATGTATTTACGGAGTCTTCGATGTTTGCCTTGAGCCAGTAGCATGTCAGAGCAGATAGATCTCATTCTTATTCGATACTTCTGTCCAGCAGCTCGGTTTTGAACGTGTGGATCGTTTCACGGTTTTCCTCGGCAGCGAGGTCGGTACGTATGTTCTGTGTAGTCTGGGGGACCCAGACATGTGCCCATGGGGGGCGAGATAACGGCCTCGGACAATGTGATGGTGTAGTGATCCTGGATAGAGGACCTCGCAGTGGGCAGCTGGCCGACGTAGAACACAGGGCCGACTGCGCAAACATTCGCGCGCAGGCTGCCCGCGTAAGGTCGCGCGTAAGCGCCTTCTTTTCGACGTGGTGTGCCGCGTTGGCTTCACGCGAAAGCCTCCGCGTAGGATCACTATGTCGTGCGTGAGACCCCTTCCTTGCTTTCCGCAGTTCATGCGGACCTTCACCGAGGCAGTATGGACCTCACCCATGATCTGCATAAACATAAACTTTAGGAGGTCCGCGCAGATTTCTTGGGTCGGCGCTGGACCCCTCTCCCTGGCGCGTGGAGCGCGCGAGGGGCGGGATGTCCAGCGCGGGGTCAAGGAATCCGCGCGGACCTCTGACAGTTTGTGTGTTATGCAGTTTTTTGTTGTCCGATTCTTGGCACTCGGTCGGCCCCTCCTGGTGCTGGCATTCGGCCCCTCTCAGCGATGAATGGGCGAGATTGGGGGTCGGTGCATCACACCCTGAGCCTATCCCCGTCCCTGGTGGTTCTCGGGCCCTAACTGAGCTCTCAGGCGGCCGTTTGGGAGATGGCGTTGCCTCGAGGCAGTGGCGACCCCCCTTGGCATTGCCCCCCCCATGCGTCGCACGCCCTGCGCGCCCGCAGAGCCTCAAGAGCAACGTGAGGGGAGGGCATGGGCTCAGCGGGGACGACGGGTTCGAGGCTCGAGGTTCTCGGCCCTTCTCGTCGGTTCTCGGCGGCCTTCCAGCCTCGGGATGTTCTCCAGCAGATGCACCTCGCCGAGAGCGTTCCCGGATCGTCCCGAGCGGCCGCCGCAGCCCTGAGTTATGGCCCGAAAGCCACCGGGGACGGGGATAGGCTCATGGGAGGATACGTCCGCCCCCGATCGCCAATTCATCGCCGATAGGGTCCGGATAGCCCGTCCCCCCCAGGAACGCGCGATCCCTCTATCGAGAGCCGATCGCCGATCTATCAGCGAGGTATCGCTGATTCCGGCTCGATGCTTCCCCTCTTGAGCCATTCCCCTTCGCGTTTTCTCTCACAGTTTCTGGCCCGTTGCGACTGACCTCTGGCGCACGTCGACTGAAAAAGGTGCACAGTTCGGTCTTGTTTCGCTTCGCTACCAACGTCATACAGTCCCAGAAATTCAAGCACCACCTTCCTTTAATTCACATTCATGTCGTCCCATGGACTCAGATACCTCGTGATGCTTGTCAGCAGCGCGCTCAACATATGCAATGTGCCTAACGAAACATCCTCGAGCATGGGATTAGTAGTAGTAGTAGGCAGGACATCAGCTTTCGGTTCGTTCCCCCGTGCGCTAGCTGACTGGGGCTCGCTTAATACTTCCGCAGGGTGTCAGGGCGATCGCACCTCGAACAGTCCCAGCGTCACGACCCGTGCGGATGTGGCCCATGCCGTACAACCAGCGGTTTTGGCCGTATGGCGGAAGACGTCTGCCTTCCAGCATCCTCAGCCTAGCCGCCCGCCCGCCCGCCAGCCCTTGGGCACTCTGGTGTGGCGCCCTCGGCGGGGTTCGGCCGACGTCACAGCACGCTCGAGGCGACGACTCCCAAAGGCGCCGAGTGATCGTGAGATATCGGCGTCAGCCCAACATACTTATGCTATATGTGCGTCCCCCCCCCCAGAGGCGACGCGCGCATGGAGAAATCTTATAATGTATGCGTCGTGGCGGGCGCTTTCTGGCCACACCGTTCGGGAAACGATCTGCTGCAAGATGGGTCTACGGTATGTTCGGGGCGGACGCGCGCGCCTCCAAGGAGGATGTAATCTAGCACTTGTGTGTCTCTGTGCGTCCCAGGATGCCCCCGACGCGCCGGACTTTCGCTCCTGGTCGAAGCCCGTCTCGACCCGCCCTCCCGCACGGCCGTGCGGCGTGCAGCGCGCGAGCACGGCCTGCCACGAACACGAGGCAGCGCGCCACGCGGGGCGCCCACGTGGCTCCCGCCAGCGCTCTGCGCCCAGCGGGTGCTCGGAGGCCGGCCGCTTCCCCTCCTCAGCACGCAGTCGCCGGCCGCCCTCGGAGGCACCCTTGTAGCCGCGGCGGAGCCTGGCTCGGACGAGCGCCGAAAGAGGTGGCGTCTGGCGCCCCACACGATGCTGCTTCTCGAGCAGGAAAGGTCACAAGCATGGGCTGTCGTAGCTCCGAGCGGATTTCTTGGGCGGCGCTGGGACCCCCTGGCGGCGCCTCCGGCGCCGCTCCTGGCTCGCTCCACGCGCCGGGGAGGGGGGTCCAGCGCCGATCCAGGAAATCCGCGCGGACCTCCGACAGTTCACGTTCATTGATTTGTTTGGTCTCAACCTTTCGACCCTGCCGCTTGGACCACGTGATTTCTTGCTCAGGTGCGTCTAGACGACTCTACTGCGCGTCGTCCCTGTCATGTCCGAGGGCTCGTGCAGCTGGAGAAGAGTCTCGGTGACCCTCCGTAGCAGGTGCGATTCGACGGGGGCGCTTCTGAAATCTTATAGCGGAGAGCCCATGCGGTTCGCCACGGAGGAGAATCTGAGTCGCTTGCGAATCCGCGCGCCGACTAGATCATCCCGCAGTGGAGGGTGCACGGAGGCAGTGGTGCAGCACCCCCTGGCCCTGTGATCAAGGCCTGAGACTCCGAGGCGTTGGCAGAAGTCTTCACCCGAAGTGTTCAGCTGTGCGGGTTACGCAGATCTCTGCCTTGGGGAAAGGAGCCTAGCGGCGCTTGCTCGTGGCGTTTGCTTGCTCGTACTGGGAGGCTGGTTCTCTGCTTGCGTCTCGTTCTGCCACTAGCGATCTTCCTCGCGTGTGCGACCGAACTGCGTTGAGGATGGCGACGGGGAGAACCCTGAGGCAGCACCCGAGGGAGCGGAATCGCCTGTTCCCTCTCTCGCGTCTCCGCCTGCTTTGCGGTCGCTCACGCTCCTACGTTGCCTGCTGCCTATCCTCCTTCCCGTCTCGCAGCAGGCCGGCATGGTGAGGCACGTCAGAGGTTCACAGCAGTGCTGGACATTTCTCCTGGTGCTCCACAGCATGGATCGGCTAACCCAGACCCTCGACGCCGAGATTTTTCGCAACGTCGACCGCCAGAGGTCTCGACCCTTTCCCGGGGACCAGTTTCTCATCCCGAGTCGTACCTTAACGGCCCCGAGGCCCGCTAAAGGGCCCCAGAGGCCGAAAATCGTGAACCGTTCTTTCGTTTTGATTTTTTTTCACCACGCGAGGGGGGCTCTGGGAACGCGTGGAGCTCGGAGGCAGAGCGGGGGGGGGGGGGCGAGGCGCAGGCGGCGTGTTTTGCTTCGTTCCGTCTCGCGCTCTTGCAGCGGTCGCGGGTCCGCGCGCCGGCGCCCGCCCCCCGGCCGTTGCAGCTCAGAGCGCTGCTGCCCGCGGCATCGGCGCGCCGCGCGGAGCCTTCCTGCCGACGATCACCAGCCTCGAACTTATCCCTATCCCTAAGACTCGGGGGTGGACAGAACCCCCAACAGTGACACGTCGATTAGTGAATTGTCCGTTTTCCGTTCTCGAGAGGGCGCCGCGGCCGTTATTTTCCAGGCTTGCGCCCACCAGGTTTGGGCCTCAGGTCGTTTTCACTAAACCACGTTTTACTAAAGGGGGGTCTGTCCATCCCCGAAAGACTGACACGCTGAAAGGACAATCTTAGGGATACACCCTCAGAAACGGAGGAAATCCCTGAGATCGCCATCGTGATGAGGCGATGCCCAAGATAGGGATAGGGATGTGTTCCAGGCTGGTAAGACGACGTGGAGGGGCGGTGTTTCACGCCCCATCCTCCGCCTGCAGCTCTTCCGTGGCAAAGCTCGGCCCCGTCCCACCACAACCGGCTGCGGGGTTCACGGCCGGTGTGCACCAGGAGTGCCGACGGCGCGACGGCCCGAGGCGGGCGTGGCTCGCCGACGG